AAAAAAAAAAAAAAAAATCAATTATATGATAGTTTCAAAAACCATAAATGTTATGAAGAGAAATGAAGCCAGAAAAGGTAATGGGAATGTGCAGAGGATTGGAGAAGGGGATACAATTTTAAATGAGGGAATCGAGGAAGGCCCCATCGAGGTGACATTTGGGCAAGACTCTAAGAGACGACAGTGAGACAGCTAGTCCAAAGGCCTAAGCAGGAAGGCACAGCTGTGTCCTGCATCTGAGGAACAGCTAGCTAGAGGCCACAGCAAGCAGGGGAGCAGTGAGTGAGGAGTCAGAGATGATGGGGCTGGGGGAAGAATGAGGAGAAGTGAGGAGAGATGGCACACAGAGCCCAGCAGACCACTGTGGGGATGGTGGCAGCCACAACAGTGAGAGGATCGTGTGTGCTAAGCAGGATCATTAGGCTGCTGTGTGGTAAAGAGGCTGTTAGGGACTGGCATGGAAGGAGGACCACCTGGGAAGCTCCTGTGTCATCTACCTGGGAGAAAATAGTGGCTTGTACCTTCCAGGAGGGGCAAGATGTGCTGGGACAAACTAAAGAGAAAGCTGGCCGCACCTTTGTTGATGGCTTAAAGGTAACATGTGAGAGAAAAACAAGAGCCCAGAATGACACTGAGGCTTTCTGGCCTGAGCAAACAGAGGTGCCATTGACATCTTGGTCCTCAGCAGTGGCACATAGGGCTGAGGGGAATGGCTGAGTGGAGCTGCCACACAGGCTGCAGCTAACATGGGTCTGGAGAGAGAAATCTGAGAGTAAATGCAAAAGGAAGGCTGCCAAGAGACTGCTCAAGGACCAAGGCCCAGACACACCAACATGTACAGATGATGAGAAGAAGAAACCCAGTAGAAACTAAATGAAGGAAGGTGAGCTCCCTACACACCAGGGAAGATGCAGGCTGAAACTGAAATCCCCGCTAAGCCTGAACTCACCAGACAAGTCTCCGGTACCGGCTGAAGCTCCAAAGTAGTAGCCGGTGGGCAGCCGCACTCCTGTGATATCAATACAGTTCTTCCATTCGTTCTTGTCCTCCAGGTCAGTCATCACCTGTGGGTGCCAGCACGTCAAGCACCCCACAGGCCTGGCGCCTGCCTTCCAGCCCCTGCAGTGGACCCAGCACAGATCTGCCAGCTGCCCCTCCCACCTGCTCACCGTCAGGCGGCCTCGGGAGTAGCGCACAGCCAGGAAGGTGTCATGATCCCGGTTACGGAAGTCAGCTGTGCAGCCGGCCAGCTCAGTCCAGCGCCCATCCTTGCTATGGTCGTAGGACAGGGAGCCATTGTTCACCATCACCGAGATATACGGGAACACGCGCTGGGACCAAGACATGGGTTACTCCACAAACAGCCCTGCCTGCAAGGGGAGCAAGGTGCCCGCCACCCCAACGCCGGGAGGTTCCTTTTGCACTGGTGCCAGGGGAAGTCTCAGTCCCCACCCTCTGACAGCCCAGTGCTTCCTTTCCTGCTTGGCAGGAGACAGCAGTGGGCCTACCTCAGTGGTCTCATCATTGGGATACGTGTCCAGGAAGATGGCTAAGCCATGGAAGTTGTCTTTGCTTCCAAACACAGGCCCTGGAATTACAAGGAGATGCTCTCACAATGAGAGAAATGGGAGTTGTCCTGTGGATACCTGAAAGGCAAGTAATGCCCATGTGGGAAGGGGGAAAGAGAGCCCCCCAGACTAATGGTCACATACCCAGGAGAGAAGGGGTCTTTAAATAAAGGAGAAAGTGAAGGTGGAAAGCAGTCTAGAGGCATGGCAGAGAGGACAGGAAGTTTGACAGCTAAATCATGAGAGGACAGCCACCTAGCCATGTGCAGAGTTGAGTGTCAGGTGCCAAAGGGATACCCAGTCTAAGAAAATCAGGTGGACCTCCAGGAAGCACCCCTATGGGGAGGTTCTACCCTCCAGACCAGGGCTGCTAACTTTCTCTCAAGGGCCAGGAAGAAACATCTTGGGTTATATGGGCTACATGTGGTTTCTGCTGCACTGTCTTCATGTTCTTTCTTTTTAAAAAATATAACACTGGCCAGGCATGGTAGACTGTAATCCTAGTACTCTGGAAGACTGAGGTGGGTGGATTACTTGAGCTCACGAGTTCGAGACCAGCCTGAGCAAAAGCAAAACCTAGTCTCTACTAAAAATAGAAAAACTGAGAGAAGAGGATCACTCAAGCCCGAGTTGGAGGCTGCTATGAGCTGACACCACAGCACTCTACCCAGGGTGATAGCCTGAGACTTTGTCTCAAAAAAAAAAAAAAAAAAATTAGGCTACTGATATATATATATGTATATATAGGGCAGCGCCTGTGGCTCAAAGGAGTAGGGCGCCAGCCCCATATGCCAGAGGTGGTGGGTTTAAACCCGGCCCTGGCCAAAAACTGCAACCCCCCCCCCCAAATATATATATATGTTGAGCTGTACAACTTAGCTGTTCCTCCTCCCTCAGAGGACCTCCTCTCAGGGCCAAGCTCCTCCCAGGGGCAGAACTTGGTCTATGACAAGTAGCAGTTTCTCACAGGAGAACAGAGTGGAAGATCCTTCGGCACACAAGCCAAGGGCAACCCCTTGTCCTGCCTGCCTCTCCTTCCTGGTGGGCCAGCAGTCATACCCGTACCCATCTCACCTGGGCCCCCACCCTCCAGGCCCTGAGTAAGAACTGCCCACCTGGCACAAGGCGGTCCCGAGTATACCACAAGGCAATGCCGTCTCCATGGAGGTTCTTCTTCCCTGTGCCATGGACTTTGAAGTGGACATGCATCTCCCAGTCCTTGAGAAAGCAAGGCTGGAAGGAGAGCAGAGACAGTTGCTCAGAGCTCCTAGGGCTTTCAAGGAAGCTAGAAGTGACACTAGCACAGCCCCTGCTCTACAGGGCCTACTAAGATGGATACTTCCTGGCTCGGCGCCTATAGCTCAACCGGCTAAGGCGCCACCCAAGCACACCTAAGGTGGCGGGTTCGAATCCCCAGCCCGGACCCGCCAAACAACAATGACGGCTGCAACCAAAAAATAGCCGGGCGTTGTGGCGGGCACCTGTAGTCCCAGCTACTTGGGAGGCGGAGGCAAGAGACTCGCTTGAGCCCAGGAGTTGGAGGTTGCTGTGAGCTGTAATGCCACGGCACTCTACCCAGGGGGAAAGCTTGAGGCTCTGTCTCAAAAAAAAAAAAAAAAAAAAAAGATGGATACTTCCTGGCACAAAGCCAGTAAGACCAAAGGCATCACTAACCATGGACCCAGGTGAAGCAGGGAGGCCCTACAGTGTTCTAAGGCTGCCTGAGGCCTAGACTCCACCCCAGGCCCCAGGTGCTCCTGAGCTGGGGCTCTTACTCAACTCACCCTCCTCCACATCAGCCAAACCCATCAATTAGCCCTGCTTCCCCTTCATTCCCACTGCTCTTATGGAGTCTCATGCAGGGGGCTATTACAGAAAACAAATTCAGAGGCAAAAGTACTTGTCCATAGCAGGTAAGTGGATTGTCTTAACTTCTACCCAGGTCTTCCTGACTCTGAGACCTCTGCTCTGTCCCCCATACTTCCCACAGCCTTTAGGCCTTTCACATAAATGGCTCCAACTTCATTTTGGCCTCCAACGCCTACTGCCCTCATTCTTCATCAACCTTCCTAAACAAGGAAAATCAGCTAGGACTCCAAAGTGAGGTCTGGTTGACTCCAAAACCCAACTCTTTTTTTTTTAAGAGACAGAGTCTCACTTTATCGCCCACGGTAGAGTGCCCTAGTAGCACAACTCACAGCAACCTCCAGCTCTTGGGCTTAGGAGATCCTCTTGCCTCAGCCTCCAGAGTAACTAGGACTACCAGCGCCCGCCACAATGCCCAGTATTTTTTGGTTGCAGTTTGGCCAGGGCCGGGTATGAACCCACCACCTTTGGTATATGGGGCCAGCGCCCTACTCACTGAGCCACAGGCACTGCTGGAAAGCCCGACTCTTTATCAGTACCTTCCCCACCCTGGCCTAAACATGGGGCTGACCTGGGTCATGCTCTGGGGCCCTTAGGCCACCCAGATGGGGAGAAAGTGGCTAAGAAAATTGAGGTAGAACTAGGTGCATCCTCTCAGGGGAAACAGCCAGCCTTGCCCATCAGGAGGCCACTGGGGAAGAGTAAGGCATCAGCACAGACTTAGACAAGAATTCCCTTTGGAGAAGTCTACAGATGTGTACACAAATAAGCCATTAAGGGACAAGGCAGGACAAGGGGTGGCCCTGGGCTTTGTGTGCTCAAAGACCTATCAGAAAGGCAAAGTACAAAAAGATGCTGTTGACCTATCAGAATGTCAACCAATAAGAGATCATTAACACCCAAAACTACTGATGAAATGAACAATGGGACTGTCCCATTTTCCTGGGGGTTATTTGGTTGTTGCAGCTTTTTTTTTTTTTTTTGAGACAGTCTCACTTTATCGCCCTTGGTAGAGTGCGGTGGCGTCCCAACTCATAGCAACCTCCAATTCCGGACTTAGGCGATTCTCTTGCCTAAGCCTCCCAAGTAGCTGGGACTACAGGCACCTGCCATAACACCTGGCTATTTTTTTGTTGCAATTTGGCTGGGGCCACCAGGTTCGAACCCACCACCCTCCATATATGGGGCCAGCGCCCTACCCACTGAGCAACAGGAATTGCCCAAGTTGTTACAGCTTTTTAACAGAACAGGGCAGATTCCACAAGCACTTACTAAGAGAATAAAAGTTTCAAACAGTATCAGTACTATGTTGTCATTTCTGGAAAAAGAAAAAAATGCAATATATATCTAGAGCAGCAGTTCTCAACCTATGGGTTGCGACCCCTTTGTAACAATGAAAATGCATCGCAGTTGAGAACCACTGGATAGAGGGAAAAAAGAAGCAAAAGAATGACCCAGAATTAATGATGGGGAACTCTGGAAGGGAAAACTACAGGGAATGTTTACTTTCTATGTTTAAATACTGTTTGATAGACACATGTATTACTTCTATAATCAGAAAAAAATTAATCAAATGTAATGCAAAACATTACATCCCAAAGTAGGCAATCTGGTTCATGCATTCACTGACTCCCTAGACTCACTGCTTTGGCCCTGGGCACCAGGAGCCCAGACGACAGACCCAGTGATGGCCTGAGAGCGCAGAGCTAGCAAGGACCCGCGCAGCAACGTGTAGCACAGTCTCAGACTCTACCCAGTGGTACAGGAAGCGGTTGCAGATTCTGGAGGGCAACTGAGAGGAGGTAAGAACCTCAAGGTCCCAAGGATAGAAGGAAAACGAATCTGAGTCTGAGGCCTGCCGAGGGTGCTGAAAGACCTAGCTTTGGCCTACAAAGCACCCAAGCCAAAAGTAAGAGTAAATTAGATAGACCTTCCAGGGGACTGCAGTACAAATTTAGGTCCTCGCCATCCCTGAAAGTAGACTAAGGGGACTCACTCAGACTCCAAATTTTTCTACCAGCAATTGTACAAATGCTATATCTGGCACACAATCATAAATAACCAGGAACAGAAAGAGACAGAAAGAATGAGAGAGAAAAATTTTTTAAAAATAAGCCAATAAGAACTATAGATATGAGACCTTCAAATCCTAGTTTACTATGTTCAAGGAGATAAAAGACCAAATTAAGAATTTGGGTAGGCTAGGTGTAATGGCTCACACTTGTAATCCTAAAGCCCTGGGAGGCCAAGGTGGGTGAACTTCTTGAGCTCACAAGTTTGAGACCAATCTGAGCCAGAGCAAGACCCCCATCTCTAAAACTAGCCAGGGGTTGAGACAGGTACCTATAGTCCCAGCTACTCAGGAAACTGAGGCAAGAGGATCACTTGAGCCCAAGAGTTTGAGGTTGCATGAGCTATGATGCCACGGAACTCTACCCAGGGTGACAAAGTGAGACTCTGTCTCCACTTAAAAAAAAAAAAATTGGGTAAATAACGGAAAATTTCCAAAATTGTACTAAAAATTCCAGAACTAAAAGAATAATAACTGAAATTAACAATGTAACATAGATTTAACAAAATAATTGAACAGGGTGACACCTATAGCTCAAAAGAGTAGGGCGCTTCAAACCCAGCCCCAGCCAAAAACTGCAAAAAAAAAAAAAAAAAAGAAAACAAAACTGAACAGTCTATAGCCATGCCAGCCTGAACGCTCCAGATCTCACCTGATCTCAAAAGCTAAGCAGAGCTGGGTGTGGTAGCTCATGCCTATAATTCTAGTAATCTGGGAGGTCAAGGCAGGAGGATAGCTTGAGCTCAGGAGTTCGAGATCAGCCTGAAAAAAAAGTGAGACCCCATCTCTACAAAAAATAGAAAAATTAGCTGGGTGTGGTAGAACATGCCTATAGTCCCAGTTACTCAGGAAGCTCACGCCAGGAGGATCACTTGAACCCAGTAGATTGAGGCTGCATTCCAACCTGAGCAACAGAGCAATATAATGTCTAAGAAAAAAAAAAAACAGCTGATGATAGAATTAGTGAACTCAATGCCAGTCAGGTAAAAATATCCAGAATGAAGCAGAGAGAACAAAAGAATGATAGATATAGAATTGTGGATTAGAAACAGAAAAAATGGGCAGCACCTGTGGCTCAAAAGGGTAGGGCGCTGGCTCCATATGCCAGAGGTGGCGAGTTCAAACCCAGCCCCCGTCCAAAAACTGAAAAATAAATAAATAAAATAAAAATGAAGTTATTTGTTAAAAAAAAAAGAAACAGAAAAAATAGTTTAAGACACATATATAATAGGAATTCCAAAATGAGATGTGAGAAAACTGGGCAAAGGAATAAAGAGATGTCTAGGCTCGGCGCCTGTGGCTCAACCGGCTAAGGCGCCAGCCACGTACACCTAAGGTGGCGGGTTCTAATCCCCAGCCCGGACCCGCCAAACAACAATGACGGCTGCAACCAAAAAATAGCCGGGCGTTGTGGCGGGCGCCTGTGGTCCCAGCTACTTGGGAGGCAGAGGCAGGAGACTCGCTTGAGCCCAGCTACTTGGGAGGCAGAGGCAGGAGACTCGCTTGAGCCCAGGAGTTGGAGGTTGCTGTGAGCTGTAATGCCACGGCACTTTACCCAGGGGGACAGCTTGAGGCTCTGTCTCAAAAAAAAAAAAAAAAAAAAAAAGAGATGTCTAAGCATTTACTAAAACTGAATCAAAGACATCATGCCACAAATTTTAAAAGTCCTGCAAACCAAAGGAGACAAATAAAAAGAAAACCCTACTCAGCCACAAAAAAAGAAAGGAGGGATGGAGGAAATAAAGAAAAACAAACAGATTGGGCATAGTGGCTCATGTCTACAATCCTAACGCTCTGGATTCCCAAGGCAGAAGGATCACTTGAGGCAAGGAGTTTGAGACCAGCCAGAGCAAAATAGCAAGACTCTGCCTCTACAAAAAATACAAAAATTAGCTGGGTGTGGTGGCATGTGCCTATAGACCCAGCTACTCAGGAGGCTAAGGCAAGAGGATGGCTTGAGTGCAGGAGTTTGAGGTTGCAATGAACTATAATAATGCCACTTCATGGGCGGTGCCTGTGGTTCAAAAGGGTAGGGCACCAGCCACATATGCTGGAGGTGGCGGGTTCATACCCAGCCCCGGCCAAAAACAAAAAACAAAAAAACAAAAACAAACAAAAAATAAAAATAAAAAAAATAATGCCACTTCACTCTATCCTAGGAAGAAAGCAAGATCCAATCCCAGGGAGGAAAAAGAAAAGGAAAATATCTTAAAGGCAATCAGAGGGAAAAAAGACATTACCTTCACAGGATATGTAATATCTGACTTCTGAACAGAAACACTATGAACAGGAAGAC